CCAAAGCCCCAGACCCAAAGAGACCCGCCAACATCCCTGGCATCCAACCGCTGTAATGGTGCATCGACTCTCCAAGCTACTCATACCCGAGTCCTACAGAATCCTATAGGTTTTAACCTATAAAACCTATCAGGCAGGATTTCCGGGAAGTTACTCTCCCCGCCTGCCTCCTGCGCCTTCTACTGCTGCAAAAGGGTGAGCAGATTCCAGATGCCCTGGAGGCGCCTTCTGTAGGAGACACAACCACTGTTCCTCCCTATATATCAGGAAAAAGAAAAAAAACAGAACTAGCCAGTGTCCCTCCCCCCAAAGAAGTTGTTTTCAATATTTAAAAAGAGAAGAAAGGCCTTCCCTTCTGCAGAAAGAGACACCTGGAGGGTTTGAAGAGCAAAAAAAATCACCTTTTCTTCACCTCCCACAGTTTTAGGGAAATGGGGGGGGGTGTCTGTGGATTGCATTATTTCCGCCCTGTCTACTAAGACGTTTCTCCCAACTTCAGGATTGGTGGCATTCATTCACATGTCTTCCTGCCACCGCCATACGCAGGGCGTTAGGAGAGGGAACGGGAACCGAGCCGGGAATTCATCCAGTCTCGTTGCCCGGGCCATCCGTCTTTCTCATAACCCGCAGGCAGCTGCCATGATCTGTACCAACCCCCAAGGATGACCTCAGTTGCTCCTCGAGGGAACGCATGGGCTTGACCTCCTTCCACGGCTCCTTTCCCCCCAAGTGTACTTTAGCCATTAAGATTGCCTTTTTATTTATTAAAAAAAAAAGGAAATTAAACGAAGAACGGCACCGGAGGAACTAGAACCTTCAACGTCAGCTCTTGGGGCTATTTATAATGATGCCTGGAAAGAATGCAACTTAATTTTGAAACTTGAAACTATTTTTAGGGAATGAAATTAACTTTTCGCATTCCTCCCTCCTGACTCCACGGAACAGGGCTGAGGGAAGGGGATCAGAACTAGGGCATTTTGGTTCTCCTTATAGGTCATCGGAGCTCAGTTTACATTCCAGGGCTCACAAAAGAGACATCCAGACCCCAAGCGGTCTCTAGAAACTCGTCTTGGCTGTTTATTGAACAGGCTCTGCCCTGTCCGTGGCCTTGGCGTGTCTTGTCTGCAGAGAAAGCATAACCCTCTCTTCCATTTTGTGCCAGAAGTGTCAATCCATCGGCATCCAGCCCCCTTCACCAAATGCAGAAGCCCCCCCTGGCACTGTCTGTAAAACTGATGAGCGCAAAGAGGCAAGGGACAAACGCAGCAGGCAGCTGGAACATCCAAGCAGGCTTTCTCCATGACAGGTGAACCTCCCTGCTACATATTTTTGCAGCTGAGGCTGTGCCCACAATCAATGGTGTGGCTGGACAACTGAGTGAATGCCGCTGAAGTCATGAGTATGTGGCTCTTAAAACCCATGCAAGGTATGGCCTGTGAAACAGCCACTATTCTACGCCGAGGACCGTTTGCACAGACCGGGATTCGGCTTCTCCTTCCCCGCCCCGCACTCCGAACTCCCATCGCCCCACAGTTGCGGTTTGGAAACACACTTCTGATCTCTTGACGTTGAGGGAGTAACAGCAAAACGTCTCTTCGCGCAAAACTAGGGAAGAAATGCCCCCAAACGCTGGGCAGGAAAACACAAGAGAGCGACTTTATGGAGTCAGCAGGCTCTCAACCTTCATTCACTGATTTCCACCACAACCGTTTTCTCTTTTAGTGTTAGCATTCTCGCTCGTCCTTTCCCAGCCAGCAATTTCTTTCCTCCAGTCTAGACAGATAACAAATCCATGGCAAATATTTAGAGGGATGTTAATCTGCTCACTATCCCCAGCCGCCCTTCGGTTTTTGCTACCATGAATTGAGACTTGGGAGATAAACAAGCCACATAAACAACCTCCTGCATTTCAAAGTTCTCTGCCTTTCTCCTTGCAGCTGTTTCCACACGGACGGATCCGAAACCCGAGCCCCAGAAAAAAGGGGAGAATCAACTGCTTTGTCTTCATCAAAGGAGCAGCAATGTCTCCTTGGAAGGAAGGATGTTTACTGCAAAGAATTCTAGAGAGAATCATATGGGCCGTTTCTTATTCAAAACTAAGGGAGGGCACCTTCTCTTTCTCAAAATGCCGTGGAGTTATTATTATGGAATCCCAGATGCATGTACCTGACTGCCTTCCTTTTTTCCTGTTGGTCTGAAGAGACGTACATCTTCATCTCCTCTTTGGCACGCTGGAGCTGCACTTCGAGGATCTAAGGAGAAACATTCGGGTTTAGAAATTCAGCGGCTATTCTGCTTGGGAGACCCTTGCCGAAAGAGCTAATATTCAGGGCCCCCTTCACAAGCCTTCGGCAGTGTTACCCTTTTCATGCAGTGGATGTGATGGTAGCGGCTTTCCTCCCGAACCCAGTCTTCACGAAGGGCCTTCACCTCCTGCACACAGAGAGAACACCTTCTTAAGCAGGCAAAACCCACGGGCGGTCTAGAGCGCAAAGGATTGCACTCAAAGAAAGAGCGTTCGCGACGAGGGACGCAGGGATTACACGGAGGAAGCCGGAGAACTTCTGGCTCGCCAGACCTCGCTGGAGCAGAGCTTTGCGCAGATACTGGCACATGCGGTAACATAACCAGGGCCAGCAGCAGGGGACGCCAGCAAAGGGAGAACTGTCATCTTGGCTTGGCAAGGAGGGCACTATCCTTGACGAGAGGCCAAATTGTCTGGGTGAAGGTGGGTCGGAGTCCCACAACCCCTGGAGGGTCTCGCCTTCCGCACCTCCGCTTCCCCTAACACAGGACGGGCCCTTATTCCCTTTTCCTCTTTTCTCAATGACCCAGAGTTTCCAAAGCGGTCCTTCCCAAGAAAGGATGGTGCCTGGATGCCTCATCCCACATTGGGATAAACGGCCATCGTTCCACAAGCCCCCTGTGATCCGTGTCGGTACAATCGGTGCATCAGCTCAAATGCAGCCCTTCCTCAGAGTCCACAGGGGAGAAAGGGGGGAATCAAGCCACTTGATCTCCAAAAATAAAGACCGGAGAGCGGTAGGAAAGGGGGCAGGCAACTCCGCCTCGTCTTTCTACCTGCTCCAGCGCTGAGCGGTTACTCTCCAAGCCTGCTGCGCAGCTGTCGTACTGGGTTTTTTTCTCTCCGCATTCTTGGGTCAATTCCTAGCAGGAGAAAGAAGCAGAAGGGCCCGTGAAACCTGTCAGCCTCCCAGCATCCAGACCGATCGTATTCTTGTCCGATCTGCCACCTCACCTCTGCTACTGGCCCACGCAGCTGGTTACATAAACCCAAGAGGCACCTGAGCCCCTCTGTTTACGGGGAAATCTCCAACTTTGCAGGCTGAAGGATCAACAGCATCAACTACCATATAACTTGCCCCGTCTCTCCACTCGTTTTTTTTAATAACACAGGCCACCGTCAGCCGTCTTTAATGCTGTGGCGGATTGCGTCTCTCCCTTGCCTGTGCCACACACAGCACATGACACAACTTAGCGAAGCTTGCAGAGTGTTTAGATCCAGGGTGGGTAACTTTTGTGGCTCCAGTTTCCTGGAAGCTGTAGCCCAAAGAACTATGAATCTGCACTGCTTTAATGTATACCCAGGTTGGCAGTGTGCACATCACTGTAGGGGCAGAGTCAAATAAACTGGGAGATTAACAGAGAAATCCTAACCTACTATAATCAGCCTAGTTGTGTCCCCACCTAATAAAACATTTTTCCAAAAAAAGAAGGTCTAATATCTCATCCGCTCACCTGGCACTTCTGACGCATTTGCCTTAAATCTTTGATAATGGGGGCCAGGCTCGACTTCTTATCTGCCACCAGCGCATTCAGCTTTTTCACCTGTTTGAATGGGAGGAAAAAAGGTTTCGAGCGAGGATGCTATGAATAGAACCACAGGAAAGCGGAAAGGAAGTCCGGAAAGGCAAATGGAAGTTAAAGTGGGAAAGAAACCAAGAAAGATTTTTTGGGGGGAGGGGGAGGAAATGGAGACAAGGCTTTACAGCCACGGGTGGACCACAGAAGGACAAACGGGCCTCCACTCAAGCCGCTGTGCTAAACAGATTTTACTTGGCCAGTGGCAACTGCGGTCTGTGGGGAGCAGATTAAACGAGGGCCTCACAATTTCCCATGCTAAAGCATTCAAATATTGTAAGATTGTTAGGAACCAACAGATTACCATTTCAGACATGTTATCCAGTGTTCGACCTTTCGCTTCATCTATTTCGCTCTTTACCGCCGAGACTCTCTCCAGCTCCTCCTGCGTATAGCTGTAGCCGGAGATCCCTTTCTTGTCTTCAATTGTTTGCTGGAAGCAGAAAGAAGAAAGCCACGTCGCCTCGCTTTCCCTGAGCTGGGCCAGTTATATTTAGAGACTAGAGGGGGGCACCTTTTTCAGGTCTGAAGGAAGCAATTCGGGGACGTGCAACTCCGTTGTTTGAGACAGTCCAAACATCACGAGGATGTAAGGCTGAGGACAGCTGGCAACCAAAAGCAATCCAGTAAGCCATCTGTGACGTGAAGGATGGCCTAAAATTCAGTTTTGATCAGTCTGTGGGACAGCCATTAAACCCCTTGAAGTACCAGTTCTCAATAATCTCAGAGTGCAAGTCTCGTGATAAATGGGCTCTAGCTACAGGAAGTTGGATTTAGGTTGAATATCAGGAAAAATGTCTTGACTGTTCGAGCAGTATGACAATGGAACCAACAGCCTCAGGAGGTAGTGAGCACTCCAGTGCTGGAGGCATTCAAGAGAAAACAAGACAGCCATTTGCCAGATCTCTTTTTAATTTGGATTCTTGCTTTCAGCAAGGTTTTGGACTCAGCGGCCTTATAGACTCCTTCTAACTCAATTGTTCTATGATTCTATGGTTAAAAACAGATCAGTTGTTGTAACCTGACATTTGGGCTTAAAGGATCAAAGTCCAGCCAAGTCTATGGACAAAGCCAGCTTAGTTAAAGCAACTTTTGAATTTTTGAAGGAAGAAGCTGCTTTGCAAACTAAAGTTGTCCAAGACGAAGCGGTTCTGAGCCTACTGTTGCTATTTATTTACTTTACCATTATTCACACACAGAATAACATTGGATCAAACAGAGAGGAACAAATCATATGGCAATCTTACAGCCCTACTTGCTGCTTGCTCTTCATTTTAGAAGAAATAACATGTTCTTTGGAGATACCAGGGAGAGCAGGGAGAGAAAAGAAGCACACAGTTGAATATTTGGCTTCAGTGGTTCCACATTTTGCCAAAACGTCTATTGAATCTCCGATAAAAAATGTAAACAGTTTTAGGGGAGAAAAATACATCTGGAAACACAAGTAGCTTTCTCGCAAAGCCAGCGATAAAAGAAAAGGCAAGATGACAAAGAAGACGACACCAGGATAAGAGCGTGGGCAATCTAGAGACTGTAATTGCCGGGCATTCACTGCCTCCACGGGTGAGGGAACCAGTTCCCATCAGGAGTGAGAAGCAGGCAGGTGATTAAGCACATGCTAGAACTGAAATATTGGCAGATGCAAGTTCTTGTTAAGTTTAAAGCAAAGTGACAGCAAAAGCTACAACTTGAACTGGAGCTACGTATAGCCTCCATCTTAAAAGCACTGTCTTTACAGGACATGTGCAAGTGTCTCCTTCTAAACACATCATTCAGCAGATCTAGGAGACAAGATGCCTCTGTCAAAGGATGTAACCCTTTCTGACAATGGCCCACTCTACTGGGAACCTACAAGATGCTCTTCTTTCCTTTCTTTCTTCCCTTCCCTTCCCCTTCCCCTCCCTCCCCTTCCTTTCTCCTTCTAATATACTTTTCTCCTTAAAAAAGGGACCCAAGGCAGCTTACAATATCGAAGGACTCTATGTAAAGCTAAGAACAGTGAGCATACAATATTGAAAGTATCAAACACCGCACCACCCTAAACAAACTAAAAAGGGAACACCAAAACATGTTCAAAGCAATAAAGCACTGCAACCCATTTTAAAAAATCCCACTTAGGCAGCCATTCACTCAGGGAAAGCCTGAAGAGAGAGAGAGGTCTTGGCCTGCTTGCGGAAGGACAGCCAAGATGGGGCCAGGCTGACCTCCCGTGGGAGGGAGTTCCAGAGTCTGGGAGCTGCCACATAGAAGTCTCTTTCCCAAGTCCCCATCAGATGTACCTGTGAGGGTAGCGCGGCTGAGAGAGAGGCCTCTCCCGATGATCTTAACACCCAGGCAGGCCAACCGTGGGGGACACTCTCCTTTTTCTAACTCAAGCTGTACACACAGAGATACCCCACCCACCCGTTCTTTCCCGGTCTGCTCCTACCTTCCTACCCCATCTTCCTTTGTGGCCTTCCTTGCCTGATTTTAGACGGATAACCTCGTTACAGCACGGACCTGCTCCCCCCTCCAAGTGCTGTATAAACAAATGGCGCTAAATAACGCAGAACTGCCCCTGTGAGTGGCGAAATGCTTTCGAGACATGGAGGGAAGGAAGGACAGGACGGTTACCAACTGGTGCTGAATCTCCTCATGGCGTTGTCTCAGGAGCTCCTCGGTTCTCTGCAGGATGCCATATTCAGCGGTAATCTCTGCCACTTCCAGGCGCTTCTTCCTGTAAAGGGTATTTTTGCTGCGGAGCTTATTAACGTAACGCTTAAACTGAAAAAAAGAGATAAGAGAGAGGGACTTTGAAAGGCTAAGAAGATGGATTTAACCCCCACTCTTATTTAAAACACACACACACACACAAGAAAAACTTTACCACTTTTTTTCCAGGTTTTGTACAGACGATATTTTTGTCTTCCGGGACTTTGTACACACCAATACAAAGATAACCTTAAATAAACATAAATGTTTAAAAAAAGAGGAGGAACTGTGATCTACCAAGGTGATTCCCAAACTGTGGTAAATGTGCACGGAAATTGTCTAAGCGGAACCCAAGCTTCCCATCACAAGGACTCAGAATCTGCACCTTGTTCCTGCGAGATGTGCCCCTGCCTTGCCAACCCCCTTCGCTATAGATTATCCACCTGGCATACTAGTAGTGACTCTGGACACACCAGGTTTCTCCTAATCCTTCCTCCTATGGCCCCTGCCCATCAATCTACCGTAAATAAAGACCATAACAAAGTGTCTGCAAACGCATAAACATCCTTCTTTTTTAAAAAAAACAAGCCTTCCACTTTTACAACCATGGGATTTAGGAGTCAGCGGCGGGGATTTGAGGCATCAAAGATTGGAAACGGCTCATTGACACGATCCTTCTGAGCGTCAAAACACCGGTACCCCCCTGTCCAGCCACTGAGCCTTCTCGCCTGGCGCAGTCTTCCTAAATCACTGCATGTTCTATAAAAAGTGTCCCAGGCAAAGAGCCCATCATGAAATCAACTCCCGCTCATCTCCTCTCCTGTGAGAGGTGGTATCTCAAGGCTGGGGGCTTTGGTCTCCTTTGTGCCATTCCTGCAACTATTTTTAAAAGCCCAAAGTGGCAAGCATTTTTAGTGAAAGAACACACCCCCGGGTTAGTCCGTGTGTGCTTCCAGGCCGGCCAGGCTACATGGAACTCAAAGGACAGCCTTCAGCGGAAGCTATCGTTCCCAGAACAAGGTCAGAGAAGGTCACCCGAGACACAGAACTTCAGAAAGCAGTTCTCGGAAAATAAAATTTCCAGGGTATGAAACCTACAGAAAAAGGTGGAAAATCATCAAGCCCAAAGCTGCCAGGCCAGGCTTCACCGTTTTAACCAGACTTGCCCTCCTGCTATTGCGTGCTCTTTTATTGTTTCATATATAATTGGTCTTGTCAGAGGCCATGAGAAAAAAAAAAAAAGAGATGTGAATTAGGTTTAAAAAAAAAAACAAAGCTATAAATATAGTATCTAACCTTTCTTTCCCTTCTATGAGCAGGCTTGCTTTTCCCAAGCAGCTGGACGCAAGGTTTTTTTGGTTTTTTTTTGGCGCTATGTTTGTTTTGAAAAATAAAACGAAATAAAATAGCCAAGCCAGCCTTGCCGCCCATGTTCTTTGACCCCAAGTTAAAGACGCTCTCAGAAGAGGTTAAGAACAAAAGGACGTTGAGAGCAGAGTCCTCCACTTTACCTAGGGAGGCATACAGATTAAAACCCGTTTCAAAGAATATTGTGACAGCCGCTCGTTGAAACTTCTACGTAGAGGGAGGAAGAGAGAGAAAGACCGTTGGAGAGGATCGTGGTGGCTCTTTAGAACAGAAGGATGGGAATGAATTGGTCCAGTTTTTAAAGCCAATATCACTTGCACAGCCTTGCTCTAAACGTGGTGTGCACCCAGTGCGGTTTGGGGGATACAGGGGCAGACCAGGATTCTGGAGAACAGGGTTCGAATCACCGCCTGGGCATGAAAACTCGCTGGGGGATTTGAATTTGATAAACCCACTCCCTAAATGCCATCCTTACCTTCAAAACCCTGTCGCTGCATGTTGGTTTTGGATTGACCGCACGTAACAACAAATGTTGTTGTACCCCCAGGTTGTTAAGGATAAGAGCTATAAGCGGAGATGTTTAAACATCCCAGGTGTTCAAATTATAACCCCTGAGTTGTGATACCTACTCAAAGCCCATGGCAATGTCTTTCGGGGACCACACATAGGTCAAACGGGGATCCATAATTAAGACCCCAAATTCAACATTGTCCTTTCTATAAATAATTGTTGCAAATTTCTGCAGTGCCAGCGGAAAACAAGCCACCAGTGGTCCTGCAGGGGTCGAGAAAACAAGGCCAGAGTTTTGTGGTAACATCCACAGCTGGGCAGCTGAACAGAGCCAGAATGGTGTCCACTTCAGTATTTCGAAAGCAAAGTTTAAAACGCACGCCAACGTTTTTTTCGTCGTTTTGTAAAGCTTTGCAACCTTGCTTGAAACCAACACGTGGTGGCCGTCAATGAAAGGAAAAATATTACAATATAGCTCCCCGGTGCTTCTTCTAGAGAGAGAACAACATAAAGGACGGGGAAACCATGACTACGGGGAAACGGGTGAAAACTTCTGTTTACATACTGAAGAACTGAGGGCTTCTCAGAACGAAAGACTGGGTATTGGACACTGGACTGAAAGCCAAACTCCACTGAGGCTGAGGTCAGGGACCCTCTGAAAGCAATCTTGGACTTCTTACAACTGGAAAAAAGAAAGGTGGGGGGAGGGAACCCAATGCTCTGATGGATTTAACTATGGGAATAGCAATTTTGGAAAAAATAAATAGTGAATCAATATAGGTTCCTGAGAATAATCTTAATTAGATACAAGGAGACTTCCCTTAATTATCACAGCAGGACACTTTTTAAAAAAAAATGTTTGCAGAAGGTATAGACTGAGAATTAAGGAACAGATGGCCTATTTTCCTGCCAGTCCAATTAATGCAATAAAGACCTTACAAGCTGCTAAAAACACTGAGTCAAAGCCGATCCCTGGCTGTGACAAACCTCTCAACAATCTTTTGCGAGCGACTTTGGAAATGCGCTCAAGTGGCCGTTTTTGGGTTATGAATTATTAGAGTCACTTCCGCTTTGGATGAGAGGCTTGGTAAAGTCCTGCGGATTCAAATGGGGGGGGGCGGGTGACGGAGAGCATGTAGCCAGCTGCACGACGGGCCGCCAAACGCTTGTGGGGAAGCTGACGTCTCAGTGCACCCTAGTAGGAAAATATGCCATGGTCTGCTCAGCAGACAGGCCAAGCAGACCATTTTTTAAATTAATACTGATTAGGAAACGTTTTCTGGGACGGGCTCCCTGGCTCACTCGCCCCTCGGGCAAAGCTGCAGGCCAAAGAACTGACAAGCGTCTCTTACGTTACCAGCTCAAGACATCTCTTTTAAGCAAGAGCCAATAATCCGGAGCGGCTCCCCTGGACTGCATTGGACAAGAAAGGATTTGGGAGCAACTTGGTCCCAAAGTTTAAAAAAAAAACACCAAAAATCACCCTGCTGCATGGATGCTTTCTCCCGATAATTCCCGACAGGTTTTAAAACATCCCTTTGATTTTTTTAAAGAATAAAGGCATCCAAGGCATTGTTGGACAGAATCCACCCCACCCCCCATCAGAAGGCTTGGCGCGGGTGCTTGTGTTTGTGTGAATGAGTGAGCACAGGCGAGGTGGGAGGGAGGGAGAGGGAGAGCAAGTGACATCGCTCAAGCATCTCACCATCCCACCTCAAACTCACGCATCTCCTCCAGTTTTGGGGGGTGGTGCCGCTTTGGGCTTCTCGCTACCTGAATGGGAGACCCCCGGGAACCCTGCCGGAAACCAGAGGGCTCCACTGCAGCAGGCCAACGCTCACGATCCAGGGACCGAAGGGTCTGCTTCCGGTGTAAGGCAGCTTCTTGGGTCCCCATGTAAGAGACCGATGGAGACCACCTGCTTCCGCCTGGTGTTTTTACCCCCGAGCAAAAGCCCGCCCTGAGCTGGGTGGTGGGTTCAATGCCAGGCACATTAGGCTGGCATGCGTCATCACAGAGACTCCTGCTCTCCTGGGGGCAAGAACAGTTGGAGGCAAAAGAGCTAAGAGGCAATACTTTCAAAGCAGAACAGGAAAAAGGACTGCTACCAAGGGAAGGTAGAGAAGGACTAGGGAGAACTGCTGGATCGCTCAGGGGCTTGGGTTTCTGGCTGTGGAGCCAGAGTTCGGGAGTTTTCCGATTCCCCCACGGTGCCTCCTCGATGGTCCAGAGGGTCCCATTCCAGCTCGGGGGGGGGGCAAAGGTCATTAAAGGTTAAAAGAGCACCACCCTCAGTAACAAGGCAGATTAATCCAGGTTATGTTGAAATAGGAAGGAAGTAGTAAGACAGTTTCTTGGTTCTTAATCGAAACCTGCAGACCAGGAAGACAAATGCTTTCTTTGTGCCAGGGGCGACTCTGAGAGCCTTCATGGGAGCAAGGCTGTATTTTACATTTGAGCCACGCCGTACGTCTGGCTTCGCTGCCGGTTAATGTCCTGCTTGAGAAGTTTCTGGCTCCCATAACCGTTCTGCACATTTGTCAACTGTGCCACTTGCAAAATCCAGCTGGGAGGAATAACGCTCACCCCTACCGAAAGCAGTCCCGAAAGAAATGGTTAAAGCCTTCTCTTTACCAGTTCTGAGAGCAGTTCAGTGAAAGGTACTTTGGAGGGGGAGGGGAACATGCCTGTCCCATTCCTGTGGGTTCTTAAACCTACCTAGGTCTGTGCTGCTTATTGCTGTAGAGGAACCAGGCCCCACCCCAGATGGCTTTATCAAGAGGAGCAGAGAAATGCTTCTGCCTGGAAACACTGGGCCACCCAACTCTGGCTTGGTGTGCAGAACACAAGTGAGGTGCCTTTGAGTCTCCAGACATTTTGGCCTACAGTATCCATCAGCCACACTCAGAAGGGTCCATGGGAGAGGAATTGGGTGCAGTTGCAGGACAGCCAAAGGTTCCACCCCCGGGGGGGTAGAGAATTCTGAGCGGGGTAGACCAGGGGGAGGATCTGGAGTCAGGCCTTAACTATATTTCTCTACCAGGAGGGGAAAAAAATACTCAGCCCTTAAGGCTCTCTCCCTCGGCCCACCTCTAATGCATAGAACTTCATGCCCAATTCGAACATTAGCCAAAGGCCTCACGATGGGTGGTTTTATGGGCCAATTCTTGTGATGCAGCTGTGTCAGGGCAACCCCCCTTCCAGCTGATCGGCACTCAACCTGCGCCACTCGCTGTTATGAAAGGGAATTTCTTCATACACAAAGCCCGACTCTAGAGGAGTGGCTTTAGGCAACAGCAGCACGGCCTGAGGCCTTGGGGCTGTTTGCTGTACAGCTCCCTGAAGCTGGAGGGACCCAAGCCTTCCCCCTCATAAACAATGGACTGGCTCAAAGACCGAGGGAAGTTCTACATCCCCCAAACTCCCATCACCACCCTCTGTTGGGACCCTGGTTTTCCCAGGATTCTCAGGACCAAGTCACCCCCTTCTCCCTCCCCTTTCAGAACGCCTGTCTCGAAGTGGGCTACTGGGTACTGCCTTCTGGACCTGATCCCTTTGGGGACATCTCTGCATTTTACACGGAAGTTGCTTTCCACAAATCCTGCCCCACGAGCTGAATGGCAAGCTTTAAAACGGGGGGGAGAGAAAAAACAAAACCAAGAAGAATAAATGAAAAGTCAGCTCCTATGAAATGAAGGATGCTTTGATTTCTTTCCCAGAGCCTGTGCGTCCAAGTTTGAAAGAGTACAATGTGCTGTGAAAGAGAGCTAAAAATATATCTGGTTTACCTAGGACCGCTTGCAATTGAACCACCTACCCTTTCTAAGCGCTGGAATGTGATTCTCTTAATTTTTAGGATCTGACAGCTGCAGGGAAGAGCTTGCCAGCACGGCCTGGGCTTTTCCTTGTTTTTCGGTACCTGGTTCTGTTTCGAGTCGGTTATCTTGCCAATAAACGACTTTTGAGCACCACCCCGGCGCACATTCAGTTGCAGTTTGCAGGTAAAGAGACACACCGGCGCCCTTCTCCCCTACTGTGAGCTTGTCGGTTCCAACCAGCTGCACAAACGTTTGCCTTTGCCGGACTAGGGAAGCTGTGTTTACCCCCTGCATCGTTAGAGGAGAACGCAACATACTGGCCAGTAAAAACATAAGCCAGGGCTGACCTTTCCGTGGATGAAGTGCTAAGACCTCAGCTGAGGATACAATTGCTGGTATGCGAGAGAGGCCAGGCCGAGAAAGCATTAATGCATACGAGTGCCAAAGCCCGAGGGCTGTGACCTGAGAGAATACGGGAACCCAAGCCGGGGAGCCCACAGAGACCCTCCCCCATGTCTCATAACAAACTATTAGGATCTCCGACGCCACGCCCCAAGTATTAAAGAGATGCGCCGATTTACCGGCGGAAAGCGGGAGAGGAAGAAAGTGCTGAAACAGCCATACCTAGAATGTCTGTCCTAGCAAATGCAGATGCCTTAGGACGTAATAAGAGAGAAAAACTGCAACTCCACAGATCCAAGAATATTTGGGTCAGGGGCATTTCTGCTTCTGTATCAGCCAGCAAGATAGCTTGTAAAAGTTGAGATGCCCAACCGGAGGCCTTTGCTCTTATGACTTCCTCGTTTGCTCACCTTATAACAGTCACTCTTTTAGCAACCTCCACCACGTTTCTCTGCTCTTGTCGCTTTTAACCACTGAGGTTCGTGGAATGCTTAGGACACCCTTGACGTTTAAAAGATAACTTTACCCAGCTGTGCTTGGGTCTGGTCGAGGGAAAGTAATTCTTCTTAACCTTTTCATGGAGTGGCTCCTGGGTTTAAGCCCTGGTGCTCAAGAGACATTTCTTCCACAGTTCGGAATCGACCCTCTTTTGCACGATTAACTTCCAGAACGACAGCTGGCATGCTTGCATTTTTACAAGTTCTAAAAATGCGCACATCCACACCTGATTTTCATTCTCCTCCTGCATCGCAACACCCATTCAAAATATCTTCCACTCCTCCCAATTTCCTGTTCTGGGGCTGTTATTAGTTGTAACAGCTTAACCATTCAACAGATTGTTCCCATCACCAGGTGTGCTGGCAACGTGGAAGGCAGAGCAAACACCCAGCAGATAAGACCAAGCGTTTGCTGTCGGGTCTCTCTCTGTTGCAGCCCGTTGCTGCCGGGTAATTAATCACTGCTTTCCCCATAGGAGGCATGTCATGACGGGCAGAAGATCTGCTCTCATATCTTGCTAGAACAAAGGTCAAGGGTGAATCTGCAACTTACACACACTAGAGGAGAGGAGGAGAGGAAAAGAAGAAGGAACAACAAAGGGCATTCAGTGCCACTGCTTCCAGGGAATCTCAGCCTCAGCCGACATTTTCCTTAAAAGACTAATCTCAAAGGCTTGTCATCTAGCTGTCTTGGGTTGCAAAGGCTGACTGCTAAAACCATATTTGGTATGGAGGAAAGCGCCCATGACTTCAGGCAGAGATGAGAACACAGCAGGAAGGCTGAAGCTCTAAGCAAAGAGTGGGCAATCTCAGACCCAGGGGCCGAATCCAGCCCTTCTGGAGTCTCAACCACAGCCCCAGGGATTTCCCGCTTCACCATCGTTCAGTGGCTTTCCAGATGGCGCACATGTTTTCCCCCCCCTTCAGATTCTGAAAGGCTAAAATGCATCTTCTAAGGCTTAAGAACGAGCAGGAAGAGCTTCAAACGAAAACGTGCCCAGTTATTTCTGTCCCTGCCCTTTTGCCTTCGGCTACTTTTGGAACTCAGCCCCTGAGAACTCATCCGAAATTGAATTTGGGCTAGAAAATGTTTCCCGGCTTTACTCTAAGCCAAAGTTCTTCATGTTTTCCAAGGGCCAAATGCTGTTGCTGCTTCCTCCCTGAGTGGTACCTGCCTCGCCCTTCAGGCTCTCCTGCCACAGCCCTGCCCTGTGGTCCTCCCTTAAGGCAGCTAGCGCTCACTCTTTGAGTCCCACTCCCATGCATAGAACCAGAAAAGAGGAGGAGGAAGGACTTCTCTGTTTCCTGCCTCTGGGCAAGACCTGGTTGCCAAGGACGGTGGGCCCCTCGGGAGGGCTTCTGCTCTGAAAGGTGGCATGGAAAGAGGGACTATTTGCTTCTAAAGGGGTAGGTTTCACTTGTCTTCAGAGAAGAAAGAGCGAGGGAGAAGAAGGCGCATGCTCCCTTTGGGGAGAGCATGGGGCCTTCAGGAAAACATGTAAGCCACGATACAAGACCACGAAACAGAGGCAGAAGTGGGCCCTGCACGTCTGATCCTCAGATGTGAGCCTTCCAAGTAACAAGGCAAACCATTTTGGAAATGGTGAGTGTTTCCCCCCACAAGCGGTCCCCCCATGTCCCCTGGGATTCCTCCATGCACCCCAGTTCCCAGTCTGTGCCCTGGAAGGGGCCACGGTGCATCACCTCCAAGCTCCGACTCATTAACCACAAGGCACATTTCCCTTTCTCGATGCCGGCCTCGCGCTCACCTCGTCACCTTTCAAGACTTCCTCTCCGTTTGACTCCCGGGCTTGATTTGACTTCTGCAACATCTGTTTCTCTAAGTTCAACAACTCCTCCTTGGCAGCCTGAAGTTCTTCCGCTTTGGCGGCCTTCTTCCGGGAAATGATGGAGGCCTGGGGAATATGTGGAGCAGTTATGATCACAGTGTGCGGATCAAAGAGCTGAAGGGGTCGAAGCACAGGGACTTAGCATCCAATGTAAACTTGCGAATAAAAGGCATGGCCGGTGTGCGGAGGGGGCTGCTTACCTACAAGGATCTCTTGTTAGCTCTTTGGGGCACAAAACAGCCCTTAAAAGAAAATGCTTCCCAGTCTAAAGCTTTGGCTGCTTTGTGACTTAGAAGCCATTCTTTCTTCAAGCCGTGACCTCCCTGCAGGTCAGCGTGAGGTCAGCTCAGGCCGCCAGGGGAAACACAAAGCCTGATTTCAGCAGCGACAGACGATATACAGAAGGAGAGCAGTTTGCGGATCATTTCATTTCATCCAGGCCTCATTTGGAAAAGAGAAACCAGCCCGAGACGCCTTTCGTCCTGTCTCTTACGCGCCCTATTTATTCGCGGATATAACCTCTGAACAAGAATAAATCCTGCTCACAGCACAGCTATAGACTACGAAGGGAACTCTGCAAGTCAGACATACCACTTCATACTGTTTCACATGGTTCTTGACAATAAATGATAACCACAATTAGTCCTGCTGCACTTTAAAGGCAAATTAAATAATATAAATATAATTAAATAATATAAATAAGTCACCTAGAGCCCCCTTCTTTAGATGCCACCCATGAAAGATTATGCAAAAATAAAAATAAAAATTCATTAAATGGCCACAGAACTCTTTATTGTTTCTCCTGCAGCAAATTCCAACCTTATCTACAAACTCGCTGCTTTTGCTTAATAAAACATAGATTACAAAATACAATACACCCCAGCTTCAAGGATGGCTTCTGCCCACTGGACAACACCCCCCCCCCAAAAAAATCCACCAAAAAACTTTCCGCATTCCCTCCAAAATGCATCAGCCCACATGTTATCTTAGCCATTGGCTTCTCTCGGCTGGGCCTACAGTGACCAACTGTGTTAAAAAAAACACACATACACACACACAGGAGGCTCTTGTGAAGCCGACAAAAGTGTCCTGCGGAGCCGAGCCGAGCCTGCCATATGTTCCTGAACTAGGAGAAACGCTCAGAATTCTTGAAATGGCTCATCCGGAGGGGACGTCAGCACTTTATATTAGAAGCCAGCTGGTCTTCTGTACCAGCACATTATGTAGCACATTCTTAACCCTGTCACATATTGTTCGCAAACACGAGAAGCTTTCGGCCACATTGACACTTCAAAAATCATGCCTTTTAAGAAAACAAGGCACCAAACTAAAAATAATCCTGGTGGCTGTTTTAGCAATCATACCTGGCCCATAATACACATGTACTTATCGTCCAATCTTTAGAGGCATATCAAATAGCGGCAGAATTCAAAACCTTGCTATCTTTTTTAAATGACTGACAGTTATAACGACATCTAATTACGTTTTTGGCAGTCAGTAATAATTCTCCTCATGATTTTACAAATATTTGTTGTTTAGAACCGACTTATAACAGCCCTACTAGGGCTCTGAAGGTAAGTGAGATATTTAAGGAGTGGTTTTACCAATTCCACTCCCCCAGTGAGTTTCCATGGCTCAGCAGGGATTCGAACCCAGGCCTCCTGAGTCATAGTCCATCATTCTGTCCATTATTCCCACACTGGGTACAAATATAAGAGTCCCAGTATGCTGCTTTGACTTACCTGTTGGCGGTACATCGAAAATTTACTGTCAAGTGGTTCGTATTTCATCATCCGCTTCTCAATTAGCTGATTGATCTGTGCATTGACCTCATGAATCTGAAATAACGGAAATGTTTGAGAACAGAATAGTTTTCACCGTCCACGCAAAACAGGAGTAAATCTATTGCTCTGTAACAAAAGCACTCTTGTGTTTGAAGACAGAAATAAGTTCAAGGAATACACTAAACTCTTAATGATGAGTTCAGATATAGGACACATATAGATTTTAGAAAAGACCCATGCATTTGGAGCAAACTTTCCAAAACTACAATACTGTAATAATTAAAAAATGAACCAGCCTTCCAACTCAGAGCTCAAACTCAACATCAACGAGTAAACCGTCTGAGTTAAAAGTGCAATGACGGAAGCATGAGGAAGAACTGGCCCTGTTCTGTGAAAAACGATCCATTTTGTGACATTTTCCCTAAAACATAAATCCACGCATGCCTAAATTCCAAGTAGATACTAAAAACTTGACAGTGTTTTACTGATTAGTTTGTGAATGAAACTGATTAGTTTGTGAATGAAAACAAACCTAGCCCCATGTTTTAAGCTACAGAATCATCTTGGAAGGACCTGCACAAGCTACATGTTCTTTTCTCCTCCTGAAAAATGGTCCAGATAAACTGAATTAGAACATCAGTCATTCCACCCAACATAGCTGATATGTATGCTAATGATGATGAGAGCTGCCCTGTGCCTCTGGAAGGCACTGGCTTAGGAGGAAAGGATGAGATAATGCAGCATTTGAAATAAAAACATGTCGACATGTACCAAAAGAACTCCACTCCTGGAAGTATCTCAACTTCACCATTACAGTGGTACCTCAACTTAAAAACTTAATTCGTATTGAGACTGCGCTCTTAAGTCGAAACATTCTTAAGTCGAAGCACCATTTCCCATAGGAATGCATTGGAAACCATTTAATTTGTACAGTATCTGCTGTTTTTCCTTCTTAAGTCGAGGCGCTGTTCTTAAGTCGAAGCATTAGTTCCCGTAGGAACTAATGCAAAGCTGGTTAATCCGTATCTACCGTTAGGGGGCAAATTTTTCTTCTTCTTCTGACCTAAGGTGAACTTAGGTCAAAAAAGGGGCAGGAAAGGATTTTTTGGGGGGGTTGGTTCTTAAGTTGAGGCTCTGTTCTCAAATCGAAGCAACTTTTTGCGAATGGAGCCGTTCTTAACTCGAATCGTTCTTATGTAGGGGCGTTCCCAAGTCGAGGTACCACTGTATTGTCCCCATCCTGGAGTCCTCCAGATGTTTTAGACGAAAACTCCCCTCAGCCCTGACCATTGGGCATCCCGAGTGGTGCTGATGGGATCTGTAGTCCAAAGTACCCGGACAGCACCGGGTTGGGGAAAGCTGCTCTGGTTCCCTAGCAACTGGTCCCAAGGCAAGGAAGATCTGACCAACAGCCGGTCTAAGTCCACTTATTCCCTTTTGCAGGGTGGATAATCACTAGCTCTAGTCATGTAACGGGGATGGCACCCTCCCAGCAATTCCTACGGTCACCGTCACCAGCAATATAAATTGCCCAGCAGCATCTATCAGGTTATTTCCGGCACTGTGTTCCACGGGAGCAAAAAAAAACCCAGCAGCCTTATGTGCTTTAAATGCTTATAAACCAATCCGTGTTCAATATCCCATCAGGCTGCTTTATCCTTTTACAGCAAAACAGGCTAACAGGGCTTCCCCCTCTGGAAGCTCCCATACCGGGTCTGTTGTGACCCAGATTTTGGACACACATTTTCTGCTTTCAGAGGCTTACGGCTTTGTGCATGGAAAATTTCAAAACACCAACTTTGCTATATAGTTTTCTATAATCCCACCTCCAGCCACCTTTTGGGGGAAAAAAACACTATTTCCATTCAAAGAGGGTGTAAAATTTCATTACGTTCACAATCCTTTCAAACCAATGAATTAAAATATTTCGCAGAATAGGGGGGGAGGGAAGAGTTTATTCGGAGCGAATTCCACACTTTATAAGACCCCAAGTCAATATACAATAGTTCAGGGCTCTATATCCCTGGGAGCGTTTTGTGAATGAGGACATTGTGTCAAAAGGGTAATTTGCAGCTCCAGCTCATGAATACAAAATGGGTACCCCAGGATAATCTCCCAGGAAGCCCAACATTATCCTGGGATAACCCCGGAACCTATTTCAGGGCATTCGGATGATACAGAAGCAACTCTGTTCTAAGAGGAGTCCTTGACATGCCATGTACAACAATAAAATAAGAGTAGCTGTTAAATCAGGTTCTGACAGAGGATCGGTTACTTCCAGTCACATGAAAGTCCCGTTTCCTCCTGCCCTCATGTCCAGTCTGGGAGCTTCTCTGAGGCGTCTGGTAGAAAACAGGATGCTGGACAAGATGTGCCTTTGATTTGACCTAGCCAGGCGCCTTTCCTAGATACTTATACCCACATAATACCCAAGATGGGTATCTTGTTAGCCAAGATGTATTATGTATTATATCTTGGCTAACAAGAGCAAAAATAATAAAAAATACACCAACAGGGAAACTATAAAGGAACAAACTAGAAACCATCTGCACCAACCTGCGGGCTGCTCTAAACCATTCCCTGCAAGGAGTAAGAGGAGACTTGCCGTGATCCACGTCTGCACCTCCCACTCTACACACCTCCCCTCTCAGATATGGGCCCTCGGATGCCTTTCCAGCCAACCCCAAGACTGCCACCTAAATCCTTCTGAAGTCGATTTACAGCAAAATATGAAAAAGAGCCAACCAAGACCACTAGATTCACAGAAACATAAACTCATGGAGTTGGAGGGGGGCCTCGAAGTCCATCGGGTCCAACCCCCTCTGCCCCTCGGATGCCTTTCCAGCCAACCCCAAGATTGCCACCTAAATCCTTCTGAAGTCGATTGACAGCAAAATATGAAAAAGAGCCAAACAAGACCACTAGAATCACAGAACCATAAAATCATGGAAAGGGGGCCTCGAAGGTCATCGGGTCCAACCCCCTCTGCCAAAGGCAGGCATCCCAAATCAAAGCAGATCCGAGAAAGATGGCGGTCCCACTTTCTCTCGAAGGCCTCCACTGTTGGAGCGCTCGCCACCTCCCCCCCTGGGATCATGGATTCTGTTGTTTTACTGCTCTAACAGTTAAGTTCTTCCTGATATTCAACCTAAATGTAGCTTCCTGTAGTTTGAATCCATGCATTCTGGGATGATAGCGAAAAGATGCTGCCTTTCCTCTTCTTACAATCTTCGAAGTCATTCTGGGATGATCGAGAAAAGATCCTGCCTTTCCTCTTCTTACAATCTTGGAAGCATTTGAAAAGGGCTATCCTCTCTCCCCTCGGTCTTTTCTCAAGTCATCATAACAGTATATTGAGGTGGATAAGAAATCCTCTCTCCCCTCGGTCTTCTTTTCTCAAGTCATCGTAACAGTATATTGAGCTGGATAAGGAGCTTGTCAGCCTCTGAAAACGAGTTCCAAAAGACGGACCCACACAGCTATTTCTGGGTCTCACGGTCTAATTCATAGTTTTAAAGTCTGCAAACATCCTTGAGTGATAGAGTCTGAATATTTTGGGTTGGCATATAGGCCCAATCTCTCCATATTTTCCCCGAGACAATTAAGAGACGATGCTAGAATCAAAGATATCCGTGATACTGAAGCTGTAGGTTTTCAACCTGTCAAACGCTGCACTTCTTCTTCTCCACACAATGACATAAATATAGTTAATTTCAAATGAGCTACAGCGTGATAATCTAAGAGCAAAATCCAAAAAAAAAAAAAAAAAAAGGTTGGGGAGAATCTAACACATGTGCTCTCCTACTCTCACGTGAATGCCAAATCACACTCAGCAAGCAAATGTAACACTCGCGACTGCAGAAACATCCAGGACCCAAAATCCTCATTTTACCTGAGGTCCCTCAGGAACCTGACACCAAGATGTAGAAGGATTGGGAAGAAAAGAAGGCTTTTCATGCAAACCCAAAATGAGTAATTATCACCTCCTAATTAGCTTTGAACAGTCTATGTGTGGGGATTTTAGTGAGCAGCTTGGAGAAATTTTCCCTTCTTTAAAAAAAAAGAAAAAAGAAATGAGAATCCAAAAATAGTTTCCTTACAACTTAAAGCAGAAGATCAGAAGTTAAAATATTGATGGGCACACCAAGCAAGATACAAGAAGGAAGGATTTAGGAATCTGGCTGTAGACTAGCAGAAAATGCATTGAGTGTGATGAATACATTTTAAAAGCATTCGACACAGAATCCGTTTGCTTCGAATACCGACTGCAGAACCGTGACACACACTGTGCAGTTACAAATATCAAAGACAGATCCCAAGGGGAAACTGATGGACAACAGTTTATCAAGAGGTTCAATTCTGTTTTGGATGACTTGACCAGAGACAAAGGTATTTTATCTGGCTCTATGTATTGAAGAGCTCATCAATACAAAGGCATACATACTACCACCAAACTACCAGTTGTTAATGGCCATTATAAGGTAATGTGAACTATTTGTACTTTTTCCATTGCAGCTCCTTCTCATCTCCAATTATAATCTTCATTCACCCACCCATCTATCTGCCCAGCTATATACCATTCTGTCACCTGAGCCAATACTCTGTGTTGGGATTAAATGAGCACCAAAGCATAAAAAAACAAATCAGACTATTCATCTCCAACATGAAGCAGAAGTGTTTGCTGGTTTTGAAGCAACAGATCCACATGGACTAATCCCCAAGAAATATATGCAGGCTACTCTGTTGCAAACACAACCTAATAAGGGCTAATCATTCATCATCTCCTGCTATCAACAGAATGCGCTAACAGGGCCCACAGGACAAACTAAACTCCACCATAAGCATAAAGCGGCCGAGGCAACAGTGGCATAGAGCGCACAAAGCCACATGTAACTAGCACCAAAAAGAATTTCAGACATATTATCTGCAATCCAAACTTTATGAACTCACGTAAAATGCATTTCAATTCATAAACATCTGATTGCAGATAATGTGTCTGAAATTCTCCTGGTTGCTTGTTATGTGCTTTTTTTGGGGGGGAGGGGACTGTTGAGATGGGTTTCCTGGTCCAACCTACTTTGGTTTCAAGTTCGTGGAGATCCGAATGGCTCATGGCCGGCTCTGCAGCCACCTTTTGCATGAGATGCAGCGTTTGCTTCTTGGCCTCCAGCTCTCTCGGAAATTTTTCAGAGACTAGGTAGGTATTGAACTTAGTCTCCTCTTCCAGCCTCTTCATTAAGCCTGGAAAACAAACCCAACGGCCGCCACATCAACATATATCTGAGCAAAGTAAATTAGAAGGGCAATTTGGGGTTTCACGCTATAATAACTATAATTTGAACTGAACTATTTAGCGGACAATTACATTTAATTTCTGAGTGAGTCTCCTGAGTTGCAATTTACAGTGCACCGGGACAAACACAGAACCGAACAGCCAACAACAGAGGAAGCGCCACTGATCTTCTCTCTTCCAACATGATTTCTTAATATTTGCAGGAGAAGGTGGGTCCGTCCAAACAGTTTTGTCTCTCACATTAAAGGGCAATTTCTGCCTGTCTCCTAGTGGACAATAAGGTGCTCCACCTCCTTTTTTGTTAATATAACAAGGCATGGGCAATGCCCACATTGTGCCCATTCAAATCTGAAAGGGCAAAACCTTCATGGCCACGGGGCATGTGTCCAGAACTTGTGTCTGCTTAACAACGCCATGCACTGAACGCTGAGCATCTCTAAGAACCCCACAAGCACTCACTAGAGCTTCAAGCCATTGACAAATACAGTATTTTCTATCCACAGATGGAAGGTTTACAGCTCGTGGGTTTAACTGCCCTAAAGAAGGGAGGAAGCGCTAAACACATATTATAAGGATCCTAAAGAAGGCTCTCAATCCCATGGCTGGCGAAGCCCCACCTCCTCTTGGAACCAAGGCTTCTTATTTGAGTATGGGGTGTCCCTGTGGTTTGCTACGGTTACCTATCGCCACCCACACAGATAAGCATGTTGAATCCAACCCAGACGAAAGTTGTCAATATTTGTTGAAGAGCTTCCTAAAATGGTTATCAGAGCTTAGGCTCCTGATCTCTTGATAATGCCGGAAACTATAAGAACAAGCTGAAAAGCTAAAACATGAAGGAAAAATGGAGGGATGGCCTACTTTAGATGTTGTATGGACAGAATAAACACTGTTTCCAAACTCTGCAGGATTGGTTATTTTGGGGGGGGGGGTCCCATCCTTTCTCCCTCCCTTCCTTCTTTCTGTAGCTTAATTGAAATCATTCAAAGAACCTGGCCTTTCAGAAGTTCACTTGCTACAGGAAAATGAATAAAGTGCACTTCAGGGCTTTCCATTTTCCACTTGAACATTTTCTTTTCTTTTTATTAAAAAAAACTTTACAGAATTGCTATGTACATACTCCGTACAGTGTGCTCGGCCGTGGGCTTTATGCTGGTTTGACGTCATTTTGCAAATGGCATCATTACAAGTACACTAAAAAGCTATTAATACTTATGCATCATGTTTTTCAATTTAGATATTTTTATTGTTGCAGGAAAGTTTCACAAAGTTATTTATTGGTTTGCTCAGAGAAGCAGGAACTAGGCATCCTTCCCTGCTGGAAGGCAAAAATGAGCATGCCTCAGCTAGAAATTTTGGCACATACGCTACATATGCTTGTATGCACCCCACCAAACAAAATCATGCACGGAAATGGCTGAAAGAACATGCCCCTATGCTTCTGAGACATAGGGTCTTCCAGAGCGCTCTTGGTTTGTGCACAAATATATATCACCAAAAAATAAGTGGTCAAGAATCAAAAACCACATACAGTTCAGCAATCATTTCTGTTCTTGAGCATTTCTAGTCTGTGTCACATTAGGAACGTGAGGGCCTTGATCTCCTGTGGGCAGCAACCTACTTCAAGGGACTCTAGATCGAGAAAGTTACCACCATAATAAAGCAGTTGATTTTTTTAAATGCTAAAAAGTATTTGTCTACTGCTACAAATCAGAAGAATCAATTATGTATTACAAGGGGGAGGGGGAGAGACAAGGTAATACGTACCAATCCTCAATGTAAATTCAACAGAAAAAAACACACATCAAATCTCCCTTCCGGTGGAAAATGCTCATGGGTTACACAAGCTTAAAATGCAAAAGTCACAAGAGCTTTTCATATCACCAGGAGCACGTCTAACTCTTTATTGGCAAGGCATCAGTCATGAAATGGAAAGAAAATCTTGGATCCCTCAGCCATTTTTCTTGCTTATCATCATCAATATTTCTAAAGGAGGCTCTTCCACTCTTGCCAACAAAGAGAACTGTGTACTGTGGACAAGGACCAAGCATTAAGTCATTCTGTTGACACTGTAAGCATCGGCTATTTGTGGTTTCGCCAGGAGAAGAGACTTATGTGTGAAACAGGCCTATTTACTTGAGCCATGAACTACGTTTTTTCCCCCTCCTTGCTAATCACTGTCCCAAGCAGACTATTATATCCTAGGCTTACCAAAACAAACCAACAAAGAACAACAACACAGCAGAAATTGCAAGCTCATCTCATTGTTTCCGTATCGCGTATTCTGCGAGGGACAAAAATAAATGATTCAAGGATACACGGAAGACAACGCTGAAAGATTTTAATATCGACCACGTCAACCGGGAAGCTCTTCCTCAAAACCAAAGACCCTGGGAAAGCACTATCCAACAAGATGATAAGGAATTTAAAATGAAAAGAAAGTTGTTGAGATTAAATGAATAGATAATAAGCTATAATACAGGACTACTTCTCTGTGTGTCCCAATCTACAGAATGATAAAATCATAAAGAATGACTCTCGCCCGAGCCAGCGTTTTGTCCGAAGACAATCTTCCGTGGTCACATGGCCAGTGCGACTTAGACACGGAACGCTGTTACCTTCCCACCGAAGTGGTCCCTATTTATCTACTTGCATTTGCATGCTTTCGAACCGCTAGGTTGGCAGGAGCTGGGACAAAGCGACCGGGAGCTCACTCCGTCGCGTGGATTCGATCTTACGACTGCTTGGTCTTCTGACCCTGCAGCACAGGCTTCTGCGGTTTAGCCCGCAGCGCCACCACGTCCCTCTTGACTAGATAATAAGCTATAATGCAGGACTACTTCTCTGTGTGTCCCAATCCACAGAGTGATAAAATCATAAAGAATGACACTCTCCTCTCTGAAAGGAGAGTCAAAGAGACAAATGTGAACAGATGCAGCCGCCCACACACTAGTTTCATTTCTGAAATAAAAATCAGAAAGAACAACACCACAACACAATGTTATTAACAACAAAACTATGGGCCACAAATGTTTTAAATAATCAGCTCTAAATAATATCAAGAACTCCAGAAATCTGTTAACTTGTATCGTGCCAGACTTTTAAAATTAAACATAAATTTGGAAAGGCGTACATTGTATCCTTCGCCATCTTTTTAAAGAACACATGCAGCGGGTTTTGGCAGCAGACAAGGAGGCGTGGGGATCAAAGCGTTTCAGAACTCCCACTTACTTTCTGGCGTGGAATCCACGGCTGCGTGACGCATATCCTTCAGCTGAAGCCGGACTCTTTGCAACCTCTGCTCGGCATGAAAAAGCTTAGAAAGCACACACACAGAGAGAGATCTATTAATAAGCTCAATCTCTGGAAACGCATACTCGCATCAAACAATAATGTAGAAAGGGAGGAAGCAGATAGCCAACTGGCACTCAAGGGGCCAGTTAAGAGGGCCCACAATTGTGCCCCTTTTCTCACCCTTTAAGGGGAAGCAATAAGAAAGCTTTTTCCCGGCATGGCTGACAAGATAGTACAGGCAGCGAGCCAACCTAGAGCAGAGAATGGAGAGGTGGGCCTGGCAACGCTTTGGATGGTACTGGCCATGCCAACAGCTAGGCTAGCTTTCAATAAGAAAGCTTTTTCCCGGCATGGCTGAGCCAACCTAGAGCAGAGAATGCGGAGGTGGGCCTGGCAACGCTTTGGAAGGTACTAGCCATGCCAACAGCTAGGCTAACTTTCTGTGGAAGGCCACGATGTGAGCGCGTTGGTGGGGCCAATCCGAGGTATCCGGCTGCATAAGCTGGAGCAGCAAATAGCATCCTCCCCCACTGCCCCATCTACTCAAGTTAAGGTACACGGGACCCAAACACCGGCAAGTTATTTTAGCATGAGACAAAAATTCCCACATACATCTCTTCCCACATCTAGCAGTGAAATATACAGAGACACGGGACCCAAACACCGGCAAGTTATTTCAGCATGAGACAGAAATTCCCACATACATCTCTTCCCACGTCTAGCAGTAAAATATACAGAGATCATCATCATCACGCACCATCAAGTCCATCCCAAGCTACGATGACCCTTTTCAAAAATGTCTGGGTATACAAGGACTCAGGAGTGGTTTATCATCCTCTTCTTCGGGTGGGATAAAGCTACGATGACCCTTTTCAAAAATGTCTAGGTATACAAGGACTCAGGAGGGGTTTATCATCCTCTTCTTCTGGGTGGGATCCCTGAGAACACTGTGCAGCTGGCCCAAGGCTCCCCAGGCTGGCTCTTCTCCCAGGAGGCCCAGAGGGCGAATCAAACTCCCCACTTCTGGGTCCACAACCAGATACTTAACTGACTGAGCAATCAAGTCAGCTATATGGTAATAACAACATATAAACAGCTAAGAGGTTGCTGCCCTTTAATGACAACCCAATATTTCTGTCTGAGGCAGCTGCTGACCTTCTTGGTTTGTTCAGAAATTTATGCATCTCATCTGTTCCAGAATTTTTTATACAGTACTGGGGTTGTGGATTCCTTTCCCCTTTCATCTCTTGCCATATAATCCATGAAAGGATTACTGTACTACGGCTCAATCAAATCGCTCTCTTTTTCTGCCCTGTCGTCACCAAAAGTTTCTGCCTTGGCTACAACTTTAATGATGTTGACTTTTGCTGTGGCTGAAATGGATTCAGACGGAGGGTTTCCACGGCTGTGCTGCTGGACAGCTACCTGGTTTTTCTGCTCTTGCTTCTGCTGGGCGAGGGACTCCTCTCTCTCCTTCTCTACGCGAAGCTGGCTGGCCATCTCAAGCATCCGCTGATGGTTCTGCACCGTCTCCACCTAGAGCAGAAGGCAGTGCAAGTCAACCGTCAGAGAACGGACATCAACCGGAGGGATCAGATGTCTCACAGATTCACACCAAGGCTTCTTAAGGAGCTGACACCGAAGTATTGGGCTCAAGTCCTTTAAATATTTTGGTCCGCTGCCTTTGGAAAGGTTCCTTTCTCCCTCGTTAGCAGTTTGACCTCTTTCCCAGACATGCCGCACGCAAGACTTAATCCTTGCTGGCATTCCCTCCCCGAACTTGCGAGCCAAGGATGATTCCACCGCCTTGATACTCTCCCTTACCCGCTTCTTGAGTCGCTCGACCCTCTTCGTCAGTTGCTCTTTCTCTTCTTCCATGGCAGTGATATCCTAGAAAGTGGGAACACTTTTAAATTAGCAGCCGAGAGAGAATTTGGGCCAGCAACAGTGGTCTGACATCTATCTGGAATTATAAGGGAGAGAATCTACCATGATATTTACGTAGCTGAATCTGTTACACTCAGAATTCCGATTATTCTTCCTTATGCAAGTTTTTTTTAAAATCCATTCCATTGTTTTGTACAAGAACCTCATCAACAATGCATGTATAAAACCAAACATCAAATATAATACGACCTATTCAAGACAGCCTAAGGTACAGAATATAACCAATAATCCCTGAACGGGTCCTTTTAAGGAGAGTGGCGGTGTAAAAATATTTTAATTTTAAAATATTTAAATAAGTGAATAAACGTTCATCCTGATGTACATTTCCCTCGATCAACATGCAACACTGGTGGGCAACGTCCACTGGTTTCCACTATTTAGGTAAGAAATAAAACTAAGTCAGGTTTAAAAATCATCTTTTTGCTGGAATTGTCTCCTATACTTCCTCGATGGGCTCTATCCACCAATGCAGCTTCTGTGCAGGTTAACTGAAGCCCTGTCAACATCTTTGGCAATAAGACACCCTGCAATTTCTTGTTTTTCCCCAAACAGAAAACTAATGGAAGCAGATCCTGCCTATTTCAGTGGGCTTCTGGGCTGCCTAAGACACCCTGCAATTTCTTGTTTTTCCCAAAACAGAAAACTAATGGAAGCAGTGGGCTTCTGGGCTGCTGCACAAATTTGTATCTTACCTTTTAAATACAGTAATATTTTTCCATGGCATATTTAATTCTCCATCAGCATTCAGAAAGCTGGTATTCCATAGAATACCATAACATAGCATAAAACGATGGAGCAACATAAAATAGTGTAACAGTAGATAAACCAATTTTTTTAAAGCCTGGCAAAAGGTCTTTCTCTGATGCTAAAAACCGAATATGGGAACCAGGAAAACCTTCCCTTCAAACAGAAAATAACCCCAAATAAGGGTTTCTGTAACTCAAAATGCCTTGGTATAGGGAGAGTAAATTCTAGCCAAAGTTAAGCATGATGATCAATACCACGGATCTTAATGTTACTAATTTCAGATAGGTTTAATGCTACAATTGCAATCACTTGGGGGTTAAGCACCTCAAGTGCTTAATTTTGGCTAGACGACTCCCTACATACCTACTCCGTAAAGTAACTTTTGCATACGTTCCTCTTTCTTTCCACAGTGCTGGCTTGCACTCCACCCATTCTGCCTCTTCAGAGTTACTGGAATGTTTGAGAAAGCAGCCTGAGGCATGACACAGCTCAAAGTAAGAGAAGTAGATGGGCCATAACCTCCCTCACAGCAGTCCTGATCAAAACTGGTGTCACTTTGCAAGGTAATAATCTTCCTCGCATGGCCACCACTGCAGTGGGGGATTTAAGCCAGATTAAAACTTCTCCTCCCTTTAGCAATCCAGTGTGTGTGTGTTTGTGTGTGGTGGGAGAGCCAGAGAAAGAGAGAAAGAGAAAGGGAGGGAGGGACATCTTCCACCAGTAGAGGACTAACTCTGGCACCTGCAAACTCATGGGGGGGTGGGGATGGGGGGGTTGCACCCAGTTCTAGTGCTACCACATTACTAAATTTTCTGCCACACCACAACAAGGTGAGACACATTTTTAAATATCCACTTATCTGTTTAAAGTTATGGAAACAGATTTCCTAAAATGCAATTTCATGGCAGATACATCATCAACGATCAAGTAAACAGAAACTGACCAAACAGAAAGGCTCAAATAGAAAACATTTTGTGAAAAACTGCAATTTTTCTTTTCTTTTCTTTTTTTACCCTTCGTATTTCTGCAGTTGAGAAGCCAGATGTCTTGAGCTGTTCGCATTCTTTATGTAGGTTTTTGAAGGCCTCTATCAGCTCTTCGTACTAAAAGAGACCAATAGCACGTGAGAGGAGTTTTGAAGCCTGCACTATGACTCAAAGATTTAAAGAAGACTTTACATTAGTTATGCTCACAAGTTAGTATCTTACAGTCAGTCCCAACAGACACATTGATTCAACGGGATTTATCTAAGTGTTAACTTATCATTCCGCAGTTGATTCAGTGGATCTGCTCTCTAGCTTAAACTAGCAATAGGAAACTGGCTACTGGGATCAAAATGGTGACCTCAGAGGAATAGACCAGTGGAACAGCCACAATCTCCTGAACTAATTGGACTTGACAAAAGACAGCCAGGCCTCTCAGCTGTGTCCTAACTGCCTGTTTGTTCTGTAATTATGGAAAACTAGCAAAGAGCATAGCAACACACAAACTAAATATTTGCAAAGAAATACAGCCAGAATAGTTTCTCTGTGGTCATAAAAATATATTGCCTATAGAAATAATCGGGGAATATCAGTAAAATCTCTTGCTCTTTAGCAGATTTAAACAACTGCTTAAACAACCTCACATGGTCATATTGTTTTAAGAGTGGCGTATTATTACAGTTTCTGTTTTGGAAACGCCGGCAGGTTACTGGAGCGCATTTTACATAATGGAAAACTGCACGGTTGTATCTTTATACAAATTAGGAGTGGTGGACACTGAACAAACATACAAGCAGCATTCCTTTCTCTCGAAGCAGCTTTTGTTTACTTCTTTTAATTATAATTCAAATATTGTCAATGGGAGGAACATGTTCACTTTAACTTCCATGGGAGGCAGGAATGCTTTTGGCTGCTCGGCGCAGCACCTGAAGAAACCACAAGGCCCACATGCCACTTGGGTGGCCGTTTTATAGGTGTTCCTCCCACTACAAACAACACGGCTGAAGCGCCAGCAGTTCTGGTAACAGGGGAGGATGCTGTTGTGACCTAGGAATTCTGCACTTGCTTGGACACTGGTTCCAAGGCTGAGAAACCAAGGATGGAGCCAGTGGAGGAGACACCAGGTCTGGGAGAAAAACCGAGACCACTACGTTCAGGAGGTGTTACTCCGAACTGACAATGGCACCTCCTGACTCCGGAGCGCCAGTCCTAAGAGAAGCACATCCTTTCTGATGAGTTCCATGATCCCTGGAGCCAGTGTGCCAGTGCTAACAGGATGCCCAGGGTGTCCTCCAGGAGAGTAAAGGAGTGCTAGGATTAGAGATGGAAACAAATCTCAGTTTGGGGGGTTCATGCCAGTTCGTACGCTCATCACCCACAGGTGCCACACACGTTTCCTTCTCCTGCCTCCCCAGCCAGATCCCCCACTCACCAGCTGGTACATGCTTCTTTCCTCCTCTTCTTTGGCTGTTCGGCTAGTTCCCGGCAGGAGCTAATCGCCCACTCAAGCAAGGAGGTGGGACAGGTAAGCCCATGCTCCTGCCGGAGACTGGCTAAACAGATTAAGAGGGTGCGGTAATGGGGGGATTGGCTGGGGAGGCAGGGAAAAGAAATACGCGTTACCTGTGATGCTGTGCTTAGGAACCAGCACAAACCACCGAACCGAGGTTTGTGCCTACCTCTAGCTAGGATCTGAGCCAAAGTCCTGCTCCTTTAAGATTTCCTATTTTGTGGAAAAGGTTGGGGCTTGGTAGGAGCAGTCTGGGCTATGAGCGATAAAGATCCTCCGTTGAGTGTCGAATCTTTTAGGAACATGACACTGCCCCTGCTGCTTTGCCCCTAGGCATCTAGCACAAGCCAGGACATGAAAAATACAAAACCACACTTAATGGCAACCGTTCAAGAATTTCACAGAGTAGCAAAAGCACTTAGGAGTAGATACAATCTCATGCAGATTGCTTCTGCACTAATTGAGGGTCTTCTCGAACATAGGCAATAACACAATATAGAGGGTTTTTTTGCCTTTTTTTTGGTGCAGAGCGAACTCACCATTCCTTAGAAGGGCCTTGCCAGCACAACCCTCTTGATTACTGAAATCTGAGCTAAGTCAGAAACACCTGACAAAAGCTACCTGTCTATTGGTGTCAGCCACTGTGTCATCTTGGAGGAACTCGGCAGGTACATCCACTTTGATGAGGAAACGAGCCAGGTAAGCTCGTTTCTTCAGCTCGTTTGTCCGCTGAAGGAGCCAGTGCAGGACAGGATGAATGACAGGTTTGCTTCCAATAACCAAACCTTGACGAAATGTACTTCTAAATAACAACAGCAATCAAATCTTAACATCAGACTCTCCTACAGTTATGTTTAAAAAAAAAACAAAGTTCGCAAACATAAATGGGACACTCTTCTTCCTGTGTACATATTAGAAGGTTGAGAGGGATTAACCCTAAATATTTACTTGGCTTTTTTTCCCTAACGCTCAAAGCGCAGTACAACCTATCCTTGTCATGCCACGTTTATGTCATGTTTAATCATGCTTTCCAGATTCCAATAACCTTTAACCAGAGCACAGAGTGCTGTCCTCTGAAGATGCTGGCCACAGAGACTGGCGAAACGTTAGGAAGAACAACCTTCAGAACACGGCCAAAGAGCCCGAAAAACCCACAACAACCATCAGATCCCGGCCATGAAAGCCTTCGCGAATACCTTTAAGACACCCTACAAAACATTTTCAAGGCATGACAAGAATATGCAACAAAATAAGTACCAATGGTAGAAGCCAAAGAAAGAAACCCATCATGGAGGCAGATAAACCTCACACATACACACACACCCTACTAATATTCCCAGCTGAAAGACGATCTGGCTCACATATTATTTTCAAAACTGAGCCGTTTTCAAGCTCTGCTCTGTGAGAAGTAAACGCCTTTGATAATTAGAGCCCCCTGTGAGCCAAAAGCCAAGAGGCAGTGGCCTATTGTCTCTCTGACTTTGCCTCCTTCTAATCTGCCTCGGTCACTGTTCCCCCATTTTTTTATTTCCAGGTAAGACCGAATCATTTTACCCATAGCAAGGCAAAAATGCCTTAAGAAATTTAGTTTATTATTGCAGGCCACGAAACTGATAAACAAACATGGAAAAATAGATTAAAAGACGTTAAACATTCTGTGTAATGTATACAAACAGTGCGGGTATAAAACAGAATTCTCCAAAGCATGTCAAATGACTGGCCCAGATTAATGTTTAGGAACTTTTTGTGATTGCTTTGTATAAAAACAGTGCAGCTGTTTTGGGGACAGATAAATTTCTGGCCAGCATCCTTCCATACATAAGGCAGGCCAAATGAATGATTGGCAATTTCTTTGGAAGTGGCCATTCTCTATACAAATGCTTCTTGCATGAGCTCCTGGTTTTCTATCACTCATTCCTCCTTATCAGACTCCCAGTGACTGCCTATCCTTTGTGGGAGAGTTTAGACAACTAAACTCTGGGTATCAGTGACTTCCCAATATAAATCTTCCTCCGTCCACAGCATGGAAATCCAGTTAACTACAAAGACTGACTGCACAAACCATGCCTGTCGTGTCTACGAATTAGATCTGTCCTGTCCTCGTGTTCATTTATGCTGCTGCAGAAAAACTCACCTTGCTGTGGGGAATTAGGAAAAGGGCATGTGGTTCCGAATTACACAAACGCAACAGTAGGGTGATGCCTGGGTTGAACCACTAAAAATCACACAAACTGCAAGCTTTTATGGGTAAATGTCCCACTTCCTTAGACTGGGCACCCTAGTGCCAAAAAAAGTATAGGTATTGTGTTGTGTAAATGCATAGGTCATTGATTTGGCCTTCCTTATGTCTGGAAGGTTACAGGCCCGGCTGGTACAAACAAGCATGTTCCCCACACATATGAATGTCCATGCTGTTTAGCGAGAGTCTATTAAGCAGACTTTGCACTGCCCCTTGATCTTCTGAAATTGTATCATTTTTTCCTCTTAAATTGGAAAATTTAAGGAGTCTGGCATTTGATAAAAATTGGAACAGCAGCACCCTCTAGTGTTCAACATAGATAGAAGGAGCTACGGAAGAAAGGAGGAAAATCGCTGCCACGCTAGAACAAACAAATAAGAGCAAAACTTTGAACATGTTCACTTAGAATCAAGTTCAGTGATGCCTCTAGGCCTGCACAGACTTGGGAATGCAGGAAAGTTAATGAAAAACAAAACTTCTGAGAGCATACATTCAATATCAACTATTCTAAATTCATCTTTACGTACAGTTCTAGAGCAAATAGCAACACTCCCAGAAATATTAATCCATTGTCAAAGTAGACCCTCAACCAATGAATGACCAATAAGACTGAGAAGCAGCATGACAAATCTGCAAATAATATGACGTTCTGCCGGGTGAACTGATCACATGACCTTGCAAAGAAGGGTTCAAGTATCTATGCCGATGGCGCCAGCTTGCTGATACTAACAGAACAGAAATACTTACAAGTCACTGGTACCTCCTGGAGGTTTATATTTAAGAACACCGAGAAGGCTCAACATCCGTTTGGCTGTCTGCTCTGGCAACTCTTCTCTAATGTCAACAACATGCTGAAAAGTTTAAAAATAGCCAAGCTATAATTAAGTGGGCAAACTCTTGTTACGTGAGCAAAACAAACATTCTTGTGAGAGAGAAAGTGAAAGTTTATACACAGAAACAGGCAAGTTTCACACTCTTACTGCCGCGAAGCTTTACAAGCTGCTTCCCCGACTTGACATAAGATTCGGCTATCACAGGGACTAGCCTTACACAACATCAAACCATTGATCCAGTTAGCTCGGTAATTTCCACACTCAGTGGCAGCAGCTCTCCACATTTTCACAGTGTAATAATTTCTCACCGCTGTCTGGAGATGGCCAACGATTGCATTTAGGAACCTCCAGAAAGCAAACCATGGGCTACAAACAAATGCTAACAAATAAAAGAAGCAATAATGCTTGAAAAGTTCGGCCTTACCTTCGGGTCAATCTCTCCCAGAACATCGCTGAGCAACTGTAAGAGCTGCATAGACTCCAGCGAGTCAAATGTGATTAAATTAAAGTTCTTCTTGAAAGGTTCCTTGTTCAGCTGTTCCACGATGAATTTGAGCTGGTCACTCATGATGGCCCCCTGAAAGCTCTCTGTAAGAGGAGAAAGAGAGATTGAGAGCAATTTGTGGAACAAGTGTCACAGAATCTGTAAAACCAAAGTAATCAAAACTGGGAAGGAAAAAGCTAAGCAGATGATCAACCTGTAGCATTTAAATGGACTGCTGTGCTCTATTGTTTTCTAAACGTGTTTTTACTGTTGACTTTATGTACTGTTTTTAATAATGTACTTTAAAATTATTTTAAAATGTTTATATACTTACCTTTTTAAAGCTTTTAATGATATACTGTACGCTCCTTTGGGTTCTTTTCAGGAGAAATTTATTTGATTTATTTAAAATATTTCTACCCCCTCTTTCTCCTTGAAAAGGACCCAAGGCGGCTCTTACAACAACGAAAGGCAATATTTTCAGTTGAAAACGATGAGGATACAGCAATGTTTCGCATCGTTAAAAGCCAGTACAGTATTTCAAACTACGAACCAGGAGGCTACTGACATCATTATCAGGCAATAGGAAGGCAAAAATCATAAAGTTTACCACAATTTTTAGAAATTCTGCTCTGAGCAATGGAAAACACAAACAAACGGAAAACACAAGGAGTACTAAAAACCTAATCTATCAAAAAACCACACACATAGGTTACTGAGGGAAAAAAGCTTGCCTGAAGAGGGAGGTCTTTTTGCCTGCTGGCAGAAGAAAGGCGGGGTACAAAAATATTTTAATTAAACCAATAATAAGCGATCGTTTCCTAATTCTCTCCTCTCTCGGCTCTTCCCTGGGCAACCCCTGCAAGCGGGAGGCCAGATTTTCGCCCCTCTTTTTTGCACCTCAACTCGCTTCCACATCAATCCCAGGAGCCCGAGAGAAGACGGATGCTGGGATCTGTAGTCCAACCATTTCTTGGGACCCAGGCCAAGGAAAAGGGCTTACGGAGGGGCAACCTCATCCTCACACCCCTTTCAACCCCCTTTCAGCCCCGGAGAGAAAATATAAATAAGAGGAAACGTGTGGGGAGGGGAGTCCTCCAGAGGCCTGGATGTCCCCCCTCACGTAACCCCAATTGGACTCATTACCATGGCAACGCCGGAAGACAACCCTCCCCCGTAGGCCACCCTTTGCCCCTCCCAACAAATTAGCTAATTAATCCTCATAGTATTCATTTCCCTTCTCTTCTTCCCCCCCCCCCGCCATGTTACCTCAGCCTGGATTTGAAAAGCCCCTCTCAAAATATTCTCCCCCCCTTCCTCACGCTGGTGAAAACAGCGCCAGAAGGCCTTAGCAACGGTTGCTAGGGGACGGTTGAGGCGGCCGCGGCAGGCCTTCCGTTCACGTGACCAACATGGCGCCGCGGCGTTTGGGAGGGGCCAAGGGAGCAAGGCGCCTCCGTTGGGAGGGGGAGGCCGACGAGGCGGGCCGGGCGGGAGGATGGATCTGCGCCTGCGCAAGACCAGAGTGGCGGGACCGGGGGAAGCAGAGCAGAGAGATTCATTCAAACAGGGGTGCGAGGCAGTGACGTGGGAATTCAGTGGTAGAATCCTAGAACTGCAGGGCCAGAAGGGACTCCTGGCGCCTCATCTGTTGTGGTGTAGGAAAATCATCAATAAGCCATAAATAATCTCCTGTAAATGAGAATCGACCACCCTCCAAAGCCAGCCATCCCACTGTCAGTCAGCCTCAGTTTTGCTTCTAGGAATTGTCCAGGCTTGACTTGATGTAGGATCCACTTGTCTGTCTTTCTGGCACTCTGCGGTATCCACAAAGCTCTTCTCCAACACCACACTTCAAAGGTGTGTGCACACTTAATAATCACAGTCACCACCATCATTATAATCCCTTCACTAAATAATAATACAAATGCAGTAATATACTTTCAATACATTAATATCCTTAGAACATGTTGGGACAAATTCTGAATAAAAAAAGGCACAGGATTGCAGTGCAGTTTCCGGATATGATGAACCTGGACTCTATCTGAATTTTTCTAATCTGCCTATATATTTCATACAGAAGAGGACAACATCTACAAAAGTTTATTTCATAATAAAATGTGATTTATACTTTTCGGTGCCACAGGCTGCTTCAGTTGTGTTTTAATCAGTCTAGGTGCAATACACTGATTTGTTTTATTTAATTTTTTTATTTACAGAACTTATTGTACATTCTTCTGTTGCATTATATTACTTGTACTGATTTGTTTGTTATCCGCCCTCAGAGGTGCTTTGCACTAACTGGATGATATAAAATTGGAATAAATAAATAAATAAACTACATTTTTGGCCACTCAATCTAAGGCAATAAAAGTTTGCTGAGGTCTGAAGTAGTTCTGTTCAACCACTGTGGGCCCAATGGGTTCAGAAAGACAGCTGCAAAGTGGCCAATGAATGTATTCAGAACTTTTAACAAACAAATTACTGTAACTGTGTTGAAGAAGAAGAAGAAGAAGAAGAAGAAGAAGAAGAAGAAGAAGAAGCTGACACCTTCCTTCCTAAGTTCTTGTATAGCCTTTACAAGATGGCGGCCCCAACCATCACATCAAAAACAGTTACTGTATTTTTTGCACCATAAGACTCACTTTTTTCCCACAAAACAGGGGGGTGGAAAGTCTGTGCATCTTATGGAGCGAAGAAAACAGATTATATTTTCCTGTTTTCTTCTCCTAAAAAATCGGTGCGTCTTATGGAAAGGTGCGTCTTATAGAGCGAAAAATACGGTATCTCAAATCAATACAATAGATGAAACTCAAATTATGAAAATGTGGCAGCAAAACATGTAGCATTGAAATGGGTCAGAGAAGAAAGCATGTGGCGTGTTAGCTATCGTTATCTGGCATATTAGAAACAGTTTGCATTCTTTGGACTTTTCTTGATTGTTTATATCCAAGGTTCATTCTCTTATCCAACGGAAAAAGAACATATGCTTGGCCGATGCCTCAAACACACCCCAGATTCAGTCTGTTTGTGTGTTTTCAAATCTTTGCTGAGATTAAAACAAGAATTTAAACTCTAAGCAAACAGGAATATAGCAACGAGGAGAGACGAAACTTAACCATAACAAGGTCTCTCCTTGTATTGTTATTTTGCTTTTCACATGTGACAATGCTTCCTTTTTGAAAACTGAAAAGACCAATCCCTACAATGAAATTTCCATGACCCATTCATTCAGTTGATTTCCTACTTCCTGTGCCTTTAAGCCGTGTATTTCAGGCGCTGCTGGATGTGTGTCTGTCTGGCTCCAGACCAAGCAGCTGCAGTTTTGTAAGGAGCTGTGCTCTGTAAGATCTTGTGTGTGTTTTTTTTTTCCCCTCCCACCATGGTGGCATGCTGCTCTTTGAAGAACGTCTGCGAATATGAAACCAACAAAGTGGTGCGGATCCAGAGCGTTTACTACGGGAGTCTCAAGTGGGCTGTCCATACAGTGGTCTTCCTTTATGTCTGGTAAGTGAGAAAGAGAAAAGTTGAGAGAGAAGCCACCGAACTAGGCTAGGAATGGGATTTGTATTGCAATAAAATATCGATGTCAACAATCAAGGCTGGAATCGAGATGCAATGATTGCCTTCCAGTTGACGCTCATAGGAGTACGGTACTGCTGTGTATCAACTGTATTGGTACGTTTCATTTACTCAGCACCAGACAATTAAGTTTGAAATGTCAGTAGCAGCCAATAACATCATGCTTCATGTCACAGAATCTTAGAACTCCAGAGCGATATTTTCGTGACAATTCAAAACTCACAGAAGTAGAGCAGAGTGAGATTTGTTTTGGAAAGAGTATGCTAGGATTTCACTGTGCACATGGCGCTTAAGGAAATGTGTTTTTCTCCCATCATAGTGCAGCAGGATGGGAAAATTAATTGGATACTGTAGGATGTTAACATTAATGTCCTACGCAACCTTTATAAGCTAGAATATCCTGTTAAATTTCAACATGCAGGCATTTCTCATTACATGCCCTGTAGCTGGGCTTCAAAAATGTTGTTGGCTAGGTCGATCCACACCAGTGAACCAGTTCTAGCACAAAACATTTCCTTCGTAAAGCAAACAGTTTGCAGCCTGAACTAAAAGCTGCAAGACCTAGCTATTCCTGAATTGCAAAATGGACAGTTTATTATGATAATACATTGGTACGGACGGGGTGTCTCTGCCCCCAGCTATCGTGAGGATTGCAGCTAAATTGAGAATGACCAGGGCATCTGCGGGAGAGGGGGTGGCGGATGATGTCACCGTCCCTTCTGGTGAAAAAGGTTCCTCCGTGCATTGTCCCACCAAGCCCAGGTGCCACTACAGCATGGCTCAAAAGATCAATCTTGTTTTCCTTCAGGGCAAACAACCAGCAAATAAAATTATCAGGTTCATCTGACTATAGAGCTGAAGGATAGGGGGGGGGGGGGGGGGCGGCTACTTGGAGGCACTACCCACCAACCCCAAAGAAGAAGCATCCTAAAATATGGGAAGGTTAGGCTGGTCCCATCTGTTGGCAAGAGATCTAGTTGTTCCAGAGAGCTCCTTCTCTGCAAGAAAACTCTTATTTCCTCCTTCTCCAATCTCCTAGCCGTTTTTCCTTTCTTGTTGCGGCTTTCAGACCCGCAGCACGAAAGCAGAACTTGTTCTCAAAGAAAACTCTTATTTCCTCCTTCTCCAATCTCCTAGCCGTTTTTCCTTTCTTGTTGCGGCTTTCAGACCCGCAGCACGAAAGCAGAACTTGTTCTCAAAGAAGCGCAGATTGTTTTTTCAAAAAAAAAAAAAAATCCATGTTACCCTCCTATCCTTCTTTAGCCAAAGGGCAGACATTTGTGGTTTCAGCTTTTGAGATCTCCGGATTTCTTCACGGGGGCCAGAGGTGGCCGGGTGGGCTGGGATGTGGAAAACGAACTCTGTTCCAGGAGCTGAGCAACTTTTCCACTTGTGTTGAGAAAGACGGCACTGAGCTTATCTCGAATGTTGTTCTCGTTTATTTCTTTGAGCCTCTAATTGGGTGTGTGCTTAACACCAGAAGCGCCCTTCTTCTGCACAAGCACCGCTTTGTCAGTTTGGTATGCGATCTTTCCACCCACTCCAAAGGCATGTCGTGATATAAACAGACACTCTTAAAGAGAAACTTTCTGCATAAATGGAGCAAAAGAAGTGTCCCTTATATGCTTCTGGCAAGTAAGATACCCTACAGTCAAATGCCACGTTATCCCTTAAACTAATAATATGCACGTTGTTTTAAAACATCAGGGGGGGGGGGGGGGCGGCTACTTGGAGGCACTACCCACCAACCCCAAAGAAGAAGCATCCTAAAATATGGGAAGGTTAGGCTGGTCCCATCTGTTGGCAAGAGATCTAGTTGTTCCAGAGAGCTCCTTCTCTGCAAGAAAACTCTTATTTCCTCCTTCTCCAATCTCCTAGCCGTTTTTCCTTTCTTGTTGCGGCTTTCAGACCCGCAGCACGAAAGCAGAACTTGTTCTCAAAGAAGCGCAGATTGTTCTTTCAAAAAAAAAAAAAAATCCATGTTACCCTCCTATCCTTCTTTAGCCAAAGGGCAGACATTTGTGGTTTCAGCTTTTGAGATCTCCGGATTTCTTCACGGGGGCCAGAGGTGGCCGGGTGGGCTGGGATGTGGAAAACGAACTCTGTTCCAGGAGCTGAGCAACTTTTCCACTTGTGTTGAGAAAGACGGCACTGAGCTTATCTCGAATGTTGTTCTCGTTGTTCTTTGAGCCTCTAATTGGGTGTGTGCTTAACACCAGAAGCGCCCTTCTTCTGCACAAGCACCGCTTTGTCAGTTTGGTATGCGATCTTTCCACCCACTCCAAAGGCATGTCGTGATATAAACAGACACTCTTAAAGAGAAACTTTCTGCATAAATGGAACAAAAGAAGCGTCCCTTATATGCTTCTGGCAAGTAAGATACCCTACAGTCAAATGCCACGTTATCCCTTAAACTAATAATATGCACGTTGTTTTAAAACATCAGCTATAGAGGCTAAGGACTGCAGTAGAGACACACGACGGACACAGATTTCCTATCACGTTAGTGGCCAGAAGAAAGAGATCAAGCTTATTTTAGAGGTACAGGATTAGGTCTGGATGTCCTTAGGGTTATCCATTTGGAGACACAGCATGTGGTTGAGAGGGAGCTGAAGTCCTCTGCATCTGTGAAATGGGCACAACATCCATAAATAGAATAACAAGAATGAACCTAAGTCCCTAGAAAACGCCAGCCACTTCATCCTTTTCCGTTATGTCTCTCCAGCATTGTCCTTATCACCGACAGACGTTATCAGAAGAAAGACACTGTCATCAGCTCAGTGCACACAAAAGTGAAAGGCGTGTCGCAGACAAACACGAGGATCTGGGACACAGCGGAATACACCATCCCCATGCAGGTGAGTCGCCCTTCGCAGCTGGAGCCCAGCTCTCTCTGATTCCCAGGGATTTGAGCGGCTGATTTCCCACGTTGCACACAAGCAAGTCTAAATTTACCCAGAAGCTAAGTAAGCCAATCCTTCAGGACCTGAGATTATAAGGTGCATTGAAATACTGTACAACAAAGTGACTGCATTTTAAGTTTGACCTACCTGTTAGAACACAAAGCATAAGCATTCCCTGGACAATTTAATTATGTAGGCTACACTTTCTTCCCTCCCCCCCATGAGCTGGGTACTTATTTTTCCAGTCGCTGAAGGATGGAAGGCTGAGTGAACCTTGAGCCGGCTTACCTGGGATTTGAACCCAGGTCTTGAGCAGAGTTTTGGCTGCAGTGCAGAACACAACTACAGGCAGCAGAATACCGTAGTAGGCAATGCGCTGTCCTCCAGTTAGTGGGGAGCGGACTGGGAGACGGTCAAGATGAAGAACAGCTAATTAGTTGCTGTTAATTGCCTTTGGCAGCCGCTGTCTTTAGGGCAGTGGCTCCCAGCCTTAGGTCCCCAAATGTTCTTGGACTACAACTCCCAGAAGCCTTCGCCACTAGCTGGGCTGGCCAGGATTTCTGGGAGTTGTAGTCCAAGAACATCTGATTTAGGGCAACTAAATTTTGGAAATTACATTAAAACAAAACAAAACACACAAAATTTGTAGAAGTCTGGGAGAGTTTGATTTCCAGTGCACGGGATGGTGTGAATTCCATTTTTTTAATTTTTTTTTAATTTTCAGGGAATAGATTCCTTTTTTGTGATCACCAACATCATCATGACGGAAAACCAAATCCAAGGCGCTTGCCCGGAGGTAAAAGTGTTTCGCAACTGATCTGTTCATTGCGTGCAGGGGCGGCAGTGGAAATTGGCAACCTCAAGAGCAGAAGCTGTTTTTTTGGGAACGAATGTCTCATCAGTAGGGGGGACCTTATGTCAGTGGATGAGTCATCATCATCTTACCAAAAAGAGAAAGAGAAAATGAAGTTGTCATGAGGCATCTAGGCCTCTCCCTGTTCACATCCTCTGTTTCTTTTAAATCTGCCAGAAGCTGATTTAATCTGTGTTTTTATTTATGCAAATAAATCTGTGTTTTTTTAATTTTATTTCTGCAAATAATTGGAGTTCTCCTAAATCTGATGATACTTCCCGCTTATGGCGGTACCCTCTTAGCAGTACAAGGACTGGGGAGGACTAAAAAGGACAAAACACAAGCAAATACAGAGCTAATAGATTTTCTGGGAGGCAGATTCCGGGAGGAAAGCGTTAAGAGTGACCTTCAGCCGTATCCCCAATTTCAGCTCCATCTCAGCTTTCCCCCCCCCCTTTCTCTCTGCAGGTGTAGACAGAAGCCTAAAATAATAAAATACATACAGCCAGACACTTCAATCCTTATTTTATATTTATTTTCCTGCGGCTCTCTTTTGCTCAGTTCCCCCTCGCCAAAGCTGTTTGCTCAACGGACAGAAGCTGTACGAAAGGCCGTGTGGACCCCCAGGGTAACGGTATGTGTGTTTAATAATAATTTTCGAACTGCAGGGCTGGAAGGGACCCTCGGGGTCATCCAGTCCAGCCCCAGTCAAGGTGGCCTGGGGGCGGAATTCGAACTCCCAACCTCTGGCTCCACAGCCAGAGACCTAAAGCCGTCGACTATGTGTGAGCGACTTGGACCTAAAAAGTTACACACATCCTTTTCTGCTTCATGGGTAAAAAAAGGGAAAAGAAAGAAACTTTGATATAACATTCCTTGAGTCAAAGTTTTATTTATTTCCCTTTGTAGGAATTCAGACAGGCAGATGTGTGAGGTATAACACGACACTGAAAACCTGTGAAGTCACTGCCTGGTGTCCGGTGGAATCTATTAAACGTGCGCCAGTGTAAGACACCAAGAACTCTTTATCCTTAACTGTTCCCCCCCCCCCACTCTTCTTTCCCTTCTCATTCATTTCCCTCCCACCAACATTTCCACACTGTGGAATAAGGATAAAACCACTCATCTGTATAAAATAATGATAAAAACCACTGATATATATATGTACTCATATTCTTAAAAAAATCTATGAATCTCATTTATAAGTTTTTCTTTGGGGGAAGCTTTCCAAACTATTTAGTTTTAAAGACACAACAACTTTTTGGCTCATTGCATGATGATCTTTGTAGAAATCACCAAATAGAGTTTTTTTTTAAAAAATTCATATCTTGGGTTTTCTGTTAGGCCGGCCATTCTGAGGAGTGCCGAAAACTTTACCGTGCTCATAAAAAACAACATCCACTTCCCCAAATTTAACTATACTACGTAAGTACAAATGATGCATTTTAAAATGTATTTAGTGATTAAACTTTTATACCATCTGATTTGTGGGGGATTTGGGGGGGATGCTTGACTGAGTGGGCCGTTTCCTCCTATTTCCCTTTTTCTAGCAAATCAGTGAGTATTTTGTTGGGATATCAGGCAAAATCCAAATAAACTTAAAAAATTAAAAAAATAAAGACAAAAACATGTGGCAGCTTAAAGATTATTCTATTTTAACGTGCGCTTTGTTGGATGCATCCACTTCGTCGGACATATGAAAACAGAACAAAATGTTGGATGAAATATCCGTTTCACAAATAGAAAATTCTAAATATTCACTGGCTGTAGGAGGCTTCTATTTTGGGGACTGTGATCCTTTTCCCCCCAAAGGTTTTTATATAAGCTACTAGAATTCGGAATCCTCCAGAATTCATCTGTTTCCTCAGTGGGGTCAAATTGCAAAGGTGGTGGGCCACTCCTGTCTGACAGGTTTTCTCATGAATGCTCAATAGGAGAACGTGGATGTGACAGATTCACTTCTGATTTAATTGCCAAATGTTACATATAAATGCCTAGAGTTCTGCTGCAGGATCTTGTTAAGAGCGAGGTGTAATCAAATAGAAACAGAAGTGTTGGGGCACTTTTAAGACTAACAGATTTATTTCAGTGTGAGATGAATCCGCCAAAGTAGATTATAATCTATAAAAGGTTATGCTGAAATATGAGGCAGGGAGAGAGAGAGGCGGCGGGAAGGAATATATAAAGTTAGTTTTTTGTGTGTGTAACCTGGCAAATAAAATTGTTTCCTTTCTCCTGCAGGAGAAATATTTCACCAGAATTCAATGTTTCCTGCAAATACAACAAGCGAACGGCTCCGGATTGTCCGATTTTTCATCTAGGAGATATTCTCCAGCTAGCAGGAGAGAATTTTTCAGAGGTGGCTGTGCAGGTCTGTAGTATTATGGGCTGGCTTTGGATGCTACGTGTCTTAAGTGCCTTCTTGTCCGTGGCGGCTTCCTGAAAGGAAGGAGGCGACAAGGACCAGAATTTAACCAGCAGGTGCTTGGCTGCCTGTTAAGTACCTTGCAGAAATTTCTGAGGAATTTCTGAGTATTTTTTTTTCCTGTACAGTAAGATTATGGTAGCCACAGTTACTAAAAAAAGTGGAAATATGGAATCCTAAACATGGCATGGTCTCTGTCTCCCTCTAGTGACCAGTTCTGGTAAATGCACCCTGAAAATACATATGATCGAGTGACAAGCTGTTTCTTTTGTTATTTTTTAATGTTGTATTTTCAGCAAGGAGATAAGTGAATCAGGAAATACTGATCTTGCAGATAGGTGGGTCCTACTGCATATAAGGACACTCCCCTTCCTCAAAGAGCTTAATGATCTAATGTTCAACACAAGGAGGACAGTCATCTACCCAGATGATTTTAAAAAATATACTTCATACTCTCTCTTTCAAGGGTGGCATCATGGGCATTGAAATTAACTGGGACTGTATCCTTGACAAGTGGCTTCATCGCTGTAAACCGAAGTATGCTTTCCGGCGCCTGGATGACAAGAAAGCCAGCGAAGCTTTGTACCCTGGCTACAATTTTAGGTAAGGAGGTCAGCAAAGATCCTGTTGCGTCAACGTTCTGCTTGTGTATGCAGAATACTTTCAATACTCCATTAATCAGTGGATACTGACCCCACGGACAGGGGGTCCTACTGTAGCTCCATAAATACTCTGATACAAACAGGATTCATTCATTATTCATTTATAATGCTTTTCCTCCCAGATTCCCATGAAATTACTTAGGTTTGGCGGTGCTAAAAATAAAACTAGTAGGCAGGGACATTTTGCACACACGGATCACGTACAACAGCAGTCACACCACTGCCGCATGCCGGACTTTCTTAATTCGGACATTTTCTTGATCTCGCCTTTCTAGTCTTGTCAGACAAAACTGCTTCCTCTTTCACTTCCTGGCTTAGAACCTTTGTCCTTAAGAAGATGATTTTAATGCCAGTTGAGTTTAAATGGGAGAAGCTCAGGATGATCTTATGGGACGTCTCTCCCTAATGTAAACCCAGGTAGTAGTACTCCAGTTTTGCTCTGGAGGCGAGGTCTTTCCTGCAGAAATTGCTGCTCTGCGTCGCTAGATTTGGGAAATGCAACCTACAAGATGCGAGGCCTCGAGAGAGGGAGGCCATATATTTGCCGGCGAAACATGCTTCAGCCTGCGGTCGTAAATCACGGAACAGGAGATCAAAGTGCATCCAATTGTTAAACAGCAGGAAAGAAGCCACGAGAACATGGTGTTGTTGGTAAGCGAGTGACTCAGCCGTGGGTGTGATACCACGAAAGGAAATTGCAAAAGCTTCCGAAGTTGGAGAGCCGAGTTTAAAGAAGATTGTGCTCCGCGGAGACACAGTGAGTTTCCGTGGCTGAGCAGGAATTCGAACCCTGATCTCTGGCTTCCCAGCCTGTCACTCTATCTGTTACACACCACACTGGGAATGGCTATAGATACTGCATGGCAAGGAAAGGAAATCAACAGCTCCTGGAAGCCCTCTCTCTCTCTCTCTCTCTCTCTCACACACACACACACACACACACACAATCTCTTACTGTGATGGGAGCTTCACTCATGCGCCGCAGGGCTCGTGGGGAACGCCCCTCTTTTTGCCCAGTCCCCGACTGGTGATTAACGGGGCATAACATGTGAGACACACTCTGACTTTCTGACCCCAGTGCTGGTTGCAGGAAAATGTATGTCAAAACAGTTTTTCCCAGGCTCGAATCCCCATGTACGGTAGTGCGGGATCAGTATCCACAGTTTCACTTACCCACAGTCTGAAAATATTAAAAATAGTAAAAGAATTTTTTTCATATGTATTACCAAAACCAGCCACTAGATGGAGCCATTAGCAATGCTATGAATGCTTGTGAGTGAATAAGACATAGCACGGTCACCGGTGCCTCTAGAGGCCTAGTCTGGTAATACAGGTGAAAATATTGTTTTCTATTTTTGTGTGTGTGTGTCCTTTTATCATTCTGTATATAGTGTTTGCTATTACCAGCAGTTTTTAGTATCCGCGGAGGGCTTGGAACCAATCCCTCTCAAATATAGGGTCCTATTATATTCCTGACTACAACTTCGACACTGGCTGTGCTGGCCAGGATTTCTGGGAGTTGTAGTCCAAGAACATCTGGGGACCCAAAGTTGGGGACCATACTGAATTAGAAGATCTCTCAGCCTGCCCAGGGGGAATTCCTTTTCACTTGATTCCAATATTCTAACAGCTTTTTATTGTCTGGTCCTTATAGATTTGCCCGGTATTACAAGCAAGCTGATGGAAAAGAAGGAAGAACTCTTATCAAAGCGTACGGCATACGTTTTGACATCCTGGTCTTTGGCACAGTAAATACAACCTGGTTTTATTTTGTTTGATTGCCTTTTTTGGTTTTACATCTTGAATTAAAAAAAACTTGAAAGGTTAGGGACCAAGGACGCGTCACTCATCATTATCAGCTGGATCAAAGGCAAACTTACCTTTACACAGTTAAAGACCCCGGATCTAATAAAAAGGTGGCCCTTCTCAAAGAGACAGGAGCAAATGCCCTCTTTTCATATTTTAAAAAAGAATGATTCTCTTTTTTCCTTTTTCCAAAGGCAGGAAAATTTGATTTCTTTGAGCTTCTGGTCTACATAGGTTCTGCGCTCTCCTACTTTGGCCTGGTAAGAGACTGGATTTTATTATTATTATTTTTTTAATCTTTTGGCCTCAGGGGGGAGAACTGCGAGTCAGTACCTGCTTTAATTTGGTTTTTATGAACAGTTGCCTTTCCTGGAATCTGTGTGTGTTTTCTGTGCCGACAAGCTGGAACCAACAGAGAACAAACCCTAACAGGGCTTTTAAGACCAGTGAGATATTTAATTCGTGGTTTTTACGAGTTCCCCCTCCTTGGCCCCCCCCCCCCGCCCTGGGAGTTT